GTTCAATTCCCAGCACTTACAATGGTCTCTGGCTTACAACCATTCCAGTTCCAGGGAATCTGATGCCTTCTCTAGCATCCATGGGCATCAGGCACGCATGTGGTGCACAGACATACATGCAATGGAAACCAATACACATAAAATAATTAAAAATTTAAAATAAAATTACACATATATACATATCTTGCATCTGTGAATCATTGGAAGTTTTCTAAAAAGCAGAGCTTTTACTTATAAGAACTACTCTTAGTAATACAGTGACATGATAAAATAAAATTATGGTTTTACTGCTTTTTATGTATTTATTAATAACAATAGCAAACATTCTTAACTATTTACTATATGTTAGACATAGTGCTGGGAATATTTTATTTCCTTTAATTGTACTATAAGGCCAATTCTATTATTCTCACTTTCAGATAATGATAATGAAAGATTAAAATTAAATTAGCAACAACAACAATTATTGTTGAGGTTTTTTTTTTTCCTTTTAGTAGTTATTCATTCAGGTACAACAGCATTTTATAGACATTATTCCATTAAATTCTTTTAAAACTCCAATGAGTAGAAAATGCTTCTAATCTGTACACTTAGAAGAAGTTATGTGGACTTAAGGTCACACACTTGTAAGGGGCAGAGCAGAGGTGCCACGCTAATCTACTGGAGTCTGAGGATCACAATATTAAACACGTACACACATACTATATATGTATATATATATAGTGTGTGTATGTGTGTGTGTGCGACTATATGTGTGTGACACCACCCGGCAACCATACACTATATTAAGGCACTGGTCTATAGAGTGAACATGTAGCAGAATCAAAGTTACAACAACAACAAAATACCTATCTCTTCCAGTCACCAAAGTGGTGTTCTGAATGCAGCCTAGGCACTCAGATCAGGTGAGTCTGTCTAGGTGAGGATGAATAAACCAAAAAGCCTTTCTGGGTGAATCTAATGCGTAGTCAGGGTTGCAAGGTGCTGTCATAGCAGCATGTCCTGGTTAGTTTTTGTTGGTCACTTGATACAACCAAGAGTGACCTGGGAAGAGGAAGTCTCAACTGAAGGATTGCCTAGATCAGATTGGCTTTGCCATGCTGTGGAGAATTGTCTTGACTGTGGATGGTTGTGGGAGGGTCCATAGCACTGTGAGATGTGCCATCTCTGGGCATGTGATCTTGGGTTGTATAAAAAAGCTGGTCTAGCATTAACAAGAGGGAGTGAGCCTGTAAGCACTCGTCCTCCATGGTTCCTGTTCCAGTTCCTGCGTTGATTATCACCTGGAAGTGTAAGCTGAAATAAACTCTTTCCTTCCCAAGTTTTTTTTGGTCATGGCGTTTATCACAGCAAAGGAGAGCAAATTAGAATGGAGAGAGACCCTGAACTTCTAGGAAGTGGCATGCTGTGATGCAGAAACAAATCCAAATAAAATTATTCAGGAGGTCAGTGATGTACCTGTGTCACTGGCCACCAGGATGATTGCTTCATCGTTGGGACTACATGCATCTTGCAGCAGAGGGTTTGCAAAGGCCATGTGTTTGTAACCCTTTATTTGATACCGCTCTGTCTGACAAATAATAGTGAGCAGGAATCTCAACACTAACAATGACATTTCAGCATTTCTTTGTGAATTAATCTTCCATCCTACATTTCTAAGGGGGAAGCATTCTGCCTCCCTTGTCTTCTTTTCCCTCTTCCTCTTCCCCTTAAGGGGCTTGGTCCTGTGTTAATGAGACAGCTTACATAAGGAATAGGAATAGTGATGCCCTCATAAGTCATTAGGGGAAAACCAGAAAACTGGAGACATGTTCTCACTTCACAGTCTTACAGTAAATAAGACGAGGCAGCACACAGGTGACCCCAGCACTGGGTAGGCTGAAGGAGGAAGATGGAGAGTTCAAGGTCACCCTGGGCTACAGAGGAAGACTCTATCTCAAAAACAAGCACACATGAACAAATTTTAAGGTAACATTTTAAACTTTGAGTTTGCAAATTTGGTGTTCTCTAGATCATTCACCTGGTCTTCTAAGATTCTTGTCTGTCTCTGCAGCACACAGGGGTGCCTGAAATTGTTTTAGATTTCATAATAGATTTTTCAGTAGAAACTGACTCTCAAGTGAAGAGCACATATCTCCTCCTTTTGTTGCTATGTGAGTTTCATGCTGGGTTTATATTTCTGGCTTGAATTTTGTTTTTTTCCTTAAAAGTGTGTTGACTTTGTTTCATTGTCCTCAGTCATTGACTCTTCTGCAAGCATGTGGCCCGTTTCTCTTTGTTGGGATATTTAAAATATCTTCTCTTCAATTCTGTTTTGAAGTTTTACAAATACTTTCTCTGGTGTTTTCTTTTTCCATTGTGTTGTACCTGCGGTAGGGAATTTCACTCTGAATGATTCTTACCTCTCAGTTTGGGGGATGTTCCTATGACCCCCTCTGTTTTCTTTTAATCCCTGTTTCTGAAACTCTTATTGATGGAGTTTTTAAAACCTCTTTTTGGACCTAGTTTGCCTCCTTTTTCATATGTTTTCTCTTTGCCTTAGAATTTCACTCTCTGAGCAATACTCTCTACTTGATCTCTTAATTTTCTGTTACACTCTTTCCTTCTCCTATTTCAATACTAATTTCCCATTGTGGCTTTTGTTTTCAGAGTGGTTACGTATATATGGCTAGTGCTCATCTCATATAGGAAATGCTATCTTATAACTATGAGAATACCAATATATACATCATATACATACATACATACACATACATACATTATATATATATATATATTGATGTGTGTGTGTGTGTGTGTGTGTGTGTGTGTTCCTTCCACCTTGAGCTTTTCTACCCCTGCCAGCCTTTTTCTTCTGCTTCTCTGTTTGGCTCTTTTGTGTCTGGGTTCCCTCAAATGCTCTGTGATCCCTCGTGAACTAGTCCTATTTTTAAACAGAGACCTGGAAGGCTGATTGAGACGCTCATTGGGGGCAGTGGCTACAGTCTTGTGAGGATCATGCAGGGACAGCATGACACAAGACTGTCTTGAAGTTTGTTTTTCTTTGGGGGGGAATGGTCAGTTTTCTCACAAAGAAACTCGTGTCTGCCTGTAGCTAGGGCTGAAACTGGTAACACATTGTCAATAACAAAGACCATCAGTTATCCCTTCTTTTTTGTGTTCAGGAAAGGGTACCATCTGTTTCCTGCCAAGATTGTGGCTGATAAGGTTTTGACTGCCCCAGAAATCTCTACTTCAGACCCCTCTAGTTCAGTTTATTCAGGGACTTTGCCACAAATCAAATGAGGAAACAAATGCCGTGTTGTTTTTTTTTAAAGTAACAGAGTAGTGAAATAATACCTTAATTTGCATAATTTACAGAATTTAAGATACTATGCATACACTCTTTTTCCTTATACCTTCTCTACCTTTTGTTACATGAAATTTATGAAAGGCAATTATTTGGATTGTGGTCCTACACCAGACCCCAAGAAGCCAGACCAAATCAGAATGGAGTCATTCATGAGGGTGGGGACACACTGTAAATCATGAAGACCTT